CTCCCTCCTCCTCCTCCTCGCGCCCGCCTCGCGCGCGCCGGCCTCCCTCCAGCCTGCGCCCTCCCTCACCTGCGGCAGGACAGCGCCCGCCAGCCGGCCCGCCCCGGTAAGCCCCTCGCGACCTTGCTTGCTGTCACTGTCACCCTCGGGGTGCCGCCCACCCTGTCGTCTGAAACTGTCCTCTCGGCCCAGGAATAATTAAGAGTGCCATTGCAGACCCGGGCAGTGCAGCAACACCCCACCACCACCACCACCACCACCAACCCTGGGCCTGGCGGAGCGAACGCATGAACCCCCTCCCACTTCCGAGAAGGAACATCATAGCATTTCCCCCTTTAAAAAAAACAACAAAACAAAAATCAGTTCTCCCCCCGCAGACACTGGAGACCATCAATGATGCGGGCTTCCCCCCCCCCCCATCTCCGAGCCCCATTCCCACAGACCACTGTGGCCCCGAGGCCTGGGACAGTGCGCTAAACGTGGCCGACACTCCCAGTGCAGCATCCCTTGAAGATGGGAAGAGGAAGGAGGGATCTATAAATTAGATTCCACTACCAACCCCTCTCCTGCTCCAACCCCCCCCCCAATTACACACGCCCAAGGTGCGTTGTTGGTTGTTTTTTTTTAAGGGCAAAAACAGATCCGTGCTGACATGGCACATGAAGCCAGGCCCAAGGATGGGTGGCCAGAGCAATAGCCCGGGTGCTAGGTCTGCGTGCTCAATACCCAACCCCGCTTTTGTCGGGGGGGGGGAAGAGGGGGGGAACGACGACGGGGGGGGGTGAGGATGTGAAGCTACAGGGTAGCTAGACCGACAGTAGGGCTTGTGATGTAGGAGGAGGCGCCCTACAAATATATCTACCATAAGCTTGAACTTTGGTAGAGGCCCCCGAGAGATCAGCAAGGTGTAAGGAGCTGTTGGCTGTCGTCCCCCCTCCCCCGAAAAACGCCACCTTCATTTCCGTTGTCTCTGAGGCTCTGCTGATCAGGGCCCGTTACGTTTCTGTCCAGCTAGGGGCTTTAAGGCATCTTTTAGCAGCCGTGTCGATGTTACCGTCCCATGTCCTTGGAAGGGAGATTTACAATAGGCTGGATTTGGTTTGGCATCTTTTGGTAGACTGCCAGAGGGGAAAAAAAAAATTTGGTTACTTTAAGACCCCTCTTTGTCCCCGCCCAAAAGACTTAAGGGAATTGCGGCTTTGAAAAATGGAGTGTTGACTAGAGTATGGCAAAAGTTGTGATTTCAGTTCCTTGAGTACAGCACTAGTAAGATCATTTAAGTATCAGACTAAGAGAGAGCTTTTGACATTTGGATCGGTTTTGTTTGGACCTTTGGGGTCCAGAAAATGTCGGGTTCTGTGAATTTTTTATGGAATTTAGAATGTGTGCTAAATTTAACTCTTCTGCAGATGTTTAAAATGAAAACCTTTTGGAAATTCGAAGATTATAGATTACTAAATAGTTCTTTTCTGAATTTGAATATTTAGTTCATATCTTTAATTCTAAACACTCATACAGTGTCAAAGAAAGCTAATTTTCGAGAATAGGTAGGCTATTGAAAGCTGCTTTAAAAGGATTCGTGAAATGCTAGTACTGTGAGATGATTATGATGCTAATGTTCAGGTTTACTTGTGAGTGTCCCTTAATTCCCTTAGTAGGAGCCATAAAGAAATGGGGGGATTCTGCTTTGAACATTTGCAGCCTAACATTCTAGTTGTTTTTAATGATTTAAGTATTGAAGATAATTGTCTGGTTTAGCCCAAGTAGCACTTGAATAAAGTTCCAATGTTCTCTTTTGGGGGAAGGAGGGATTTGAGCTTTGTAAAGGATTAACGTGTTGTTTCTGTTGGGAACTCTACAATCAAGAGTTTACTACCCAGAGGTAAATAGCCTCTCCTCAAGTTTATTTTATAACTGTGTTATTTTTGTCTGTAAAAATAAAAGATGAATTACATTATTTCATCAGAATCACCTGTAGTTGAGGCAGAGGAAAATTGAAGGGTTTTTTCCTTCTTGGTCTATCTCAGAATCTGTGTCCTTATGCAAAAAAAAATTTTTTTGTGTGGGTAAGTTTGTTAAATATATAGTGATTAAATTTTTTTAAATCTTGAGTCTCTTAAAAATGTGTATATAGTGTTAATAAAGGGGGCTCAAAGGACCTAGAAATCCTTATCAGGTAAATGTAAGCAAATTTTGAGTGAAATGGGAATATTTCTTTTTGATGATTTTTCATTAATATGGATATTTAATATGGATATTTGCACATTATATTTCGTTTCTTTTTAGTGTTTCCTACATTGTAATGAAATTGTAAGGTTAGTAGTCTTAACAGCTATGTGTATTGAAGTAATGGATTCAAAGAGCTAAACACTTAGAACAGGTTTTTCATTTATCAATTTAATATATTTAGGTAGTTAACAAATGGCTAAAACTCTCTTTAAATCCACAATTTTCTTAAAGATCTTCAAAGCCAGGATGCAGATATAATTTTTAAATTCTACTTAAAGTTCTAAACATTTTAGGACTATCCTGTAAGTTAATATTCCTTCCTTCCTGGCTGCCTTTTAAGACGAATGTCATACCTGTAGCCTAAGGAGAGTCACCTTTTACTTTTTAGTCTGAGAAAAAAAAACCACATTTCCAGGCTTATCCTGAAATTGACGCTCTTGGTAAAGTAGTAAAAATATGCTTCCTAACTAACTTGAATTGTTTGTGGAGGAAACTTCAGTCTTGTTTACTTTTTAGATATAAAGAAGAGCTGCTGGCGTGTACAGGTAGAAATTACATATACAATGACTAGTACAAAGCCAGCATATAATTACTCAGACATCTCAGTCATGTGCTGGTCTTCACTCAAAATTCCCACTTTAAGTGTGCAAATGATATTTAATTTGTATTCTACTTAGAAACCTTATCACTTGCCTCTTGTCTGAGGAAGAAGTCAGTTCCTGGTGATACCCCCTCCCCCGTTTCCCCAGAAAATCAGGGCACTCACAAATTCAAACTGCTTCAGAACCCCTGGAAATAAATGTTTGGAACAGCAAGAAATTTGAACTGTGAAGTTGGTCCGGAAGGCAATATGGAACCCCAAGCCTGGAAGAATGTAGGGACTGGCTGCTGGCGGGCGGCAATCAAAATCTCCTTGGCCTCGCTGTCTTGAACTCTCATTAGGGGGTACGGTTTGGTTCTTTGTAAACTCTTGAAGAAGGGCAGGTGCCCCTCTAGATCCGGACTCACTGGACCTTTCCCTCAGTTTACACATGAAAGCCGAAGACCGCTCCGTTCTATGCAGATACCCTGTCACTCAGTGGTTAGGTTTCTGGAGTTGCCGGGGTCTATCCAGGGTCCTGACTATTACAAGGAGCAAGTCGGGAGCCTGTAGGCACCTCTGTGTCTTCAGGAATTTGTTTTTTATGGTAGGAAGTCCTCTGAAAGTTCCTGTTTCCCTTAACCCAGCAGACTTGGGGATGGAGGAGAGAGTGCAGAAAACTCAGCACTGAAAAGGCCTATATATAAGTGATTGATTCTAAATTAAGGAGAAATTCTTTGTGAGGCCCATAGCAAAGGTTTCTGTTTCGGAGTGAGCTTCCTCTTCAGGGAGCTCTTTCAGATATCACTGAATGCAGGTGCGTGTTTCTCAGGCTGGTTCGCAGGATTCCCTGGTTTGCTCTTTGGTGGCCAGGGTTCTTTGCCCTGTTTCTTCCTCATTAGTGGGAAGTAGTGAATGTGGCTAACACTAACTAAAATGGGCTCTTGCTGGGGACAGAGAATGGGAAAGGCAGAGATGCAGAAAACATATATACCCAGCAGACAGGTTTGCCTCCAGAGTAAAAGGCCATATTAAGGGGCTTTGCGGGCTCAGGACTAGAAAGGGATCTGTACCTAGACTGTTCTTACTTTAATTCTTTCCCCGTTGGGCAACCATTTAAGTTATCGTTTTCTGCAGCTAAGTGGGGAAGGTGTCTCCTTATTGTGAAAGGAAAGGAGAAGTTCAGTAGGAGGGGAACCCACAGATGAATAGGCGTAGTACTAGGGTAGAGGCAGCAATCTATGTTGAACAAGCCAAGGATAAGGCTGCATGATCTGTATCCTCTCCAGTAATGTGGAGTTTGGGGTCATTGGCAAGGGTCCTCAGGAAATAGGCCCTGGCTTTGCCACAGCTGCCAGGGCTGCATTCTGCAGAGAAGGGAGTAAGAGCATTCACTATCTGTCTGGGTGTTGGAAAATAAGCCCTAGATTATGGATTATAGTTTAAGAAGAAAATTTCTATTTCTGAGCCCCTCCTTTATTCTTGGGCCCCTTTCTGTGGCCACAGAAGATCCCCTTTAGCTGTCACCATCCAAAGACTGATTGGTTAATTAATGGTCAGTAACCTGTCTGCGTAAAATCCAAGATCTTTTAATATTTTACTGGGGGTGGGGGGCTCTTTTTGATACTTGGGAGATTTTGGGCGGAAGAGTAAAGGGGTAAGCGAACCTGCTTTAATGAATCCTGTAAGGAACTGCGTTTCCCAGGAAATTCCTGACATTTTTAGTTCATGAATTTCCGAAAGCCTGATTGGGTTTTCTCCTCCATTCTGGGTCCTTCCAAAGAGGAGTGGGCTGGGGTCTGAGTGCTCGGCAGGGCCTGGTTCATCTGCAGAGCTGGCCGACAACCCAGGCTGGGCTGAGCCCTAAGCAGGGTGCCCCCCTTCCCAAATCTCAGAAGGAGGAGGGGGGAGAAAGCCAAGCAGTTGTGGTCCCAAAGGGGTCTGGTTGCAGGTTTGGGGGTGAGTGTGGGTTTCTTTTCTATTATGGTTTGGGAGTGAGGGCATAGCCTACGGGAATAGGCACTGCGGGCACCCCGGCCCTGGTGCGGCTACTGTCTTCAGCCCAGCTCCCCCCGCTGGTGAGTGCGCCCGCCCGACTGTGCGGGGCTGCGGTTGGGGGGAGGGGGGAGCGGGATCATCTGAGGCCAGAGCCGCTGCCGTGCGCGGGGAGGGGGAGCGGCGGGAGCGAGGGGAGGGAGAGGGGAGGGACGGGCTAGGTGTCTGCTGCTCCGCGCCACTGCTGCCGGCGCCCGGTCCTCGTCCCCAGCAGCCCCCTCTGCAGCTAAGGGTTTACCACCGCAGCACCTCGTTTTCCTCGCCTGCCTCTTCAGCCACAGCTCTGCGGTAGGAGACAGCCCTGCCGGGTGTTGGGCGACCCTGTCTGGGTTTGGGTCTGGGTCAGGCCCACAGGGGAAAGGGAGGCCGTGACTCGGTGTACCCTCTGCATCCTACTCTGCTGTGCTACGCAGGCCCCTCCCCCACGTCTTCTCTTTGGGGTCACTGGAAAGCAAGAGGCAGGCCTGATCTCTGTGCTTAATACGGCATAGCCCCCCCAAGTCCCCCGACTCCCCGAGTCAAGGCTGCTTAGGGTCTGGCCAACGGGTAGCTACGGCGGCGGCGGCGGTGGCAGAGGCTGCGGTGGCAGCAGAACTGCGACGCGGCGCTCCCGCTCCCCCCTCCGGAGAGGGGTGTAGGGCGAGGGCCGGCGGGTGGGCGCCGCCTGGCGGGCAGGCGGGCAGGGTGGCTGGCCTGGGGAAGGGGCGCAGTCACGTGCCGGCGGGCGGTGGGCGCGTACAGTAGGGCGTCCTGCTACTGTACTGGGGAGTCAGTGCCCTGTTACCGGGTCTCGTCTGTCTCGTCTCTCCCGCAGATCTCGCGAGAGTGGCTGACTGGCTGTGGGGGTTGCGGCGGCAGCAGGCGGAGCCGGGGAGGGAAAGCAGCGGCGGCTGAGGCGACTGAGGCGGCGGGCGGAGCGGCAGGCGGCGGCGCGGCGGCGGAGCGCAGCATCATGGCGGACCGAGACAGCGGCAGCGAGCAGGGTGGTGCGGCGCTGGGCTCGGGCGGCTCCCTAGGGCACCCGGGCTCGGGCTCAGGCTCCGGCGGGGGCGGTGGTGGCGGCGGGGGCGGCGGCGGCAGTGGCGGCGGCGGCGGGGCCCCGGGGGGGCTGCAGCACGAGACGCAGGAGCTGGCCTCCAAGCGGGTGGACATCCAGAACAAGCGCTTCTACCTGGACGTGAAGCAGAACGCCAAGGGCCGCTTCCTCAAGATCGCAGAGGTGGGCGCTGGCGGCAACAAGAGCCGCCTCACCCTCTCCATGTCTGTGGCCGTGGAGTTCCGCGACTACCTGGGCGACTTCATCGAGCACTACGCGCAGCTGGGCCCCAGCCAGCCGCCCGACCTGGCCCAGGCACAGGACGAACCACGCCGGGCGCTCAAGAGCGAGTTCCTGGTGCGCGAAAACCGCAAGTACTACATGGATCTCAAGGAGAACCAGCGCGGCCGCTTCCTGCGCATCCGCCAGACAGTCAACCGGGGGCCCGGCCTGGGCTCCACGCAGGGCCAGACCATCGCGCTGCCCGCACAGGGGCTCATCGAGTTCCGTGACGCTCTGGCCAAGCTCATCGACGACTATGGAGTGGAGGAGGAGCCGGCCGAGCTGCCCGAGGGCACCTCCTTGACTGTGGACAACAAGCGCTTCTTCTTCGATGTGGGCTCCAACAAGTACGGCGTGTTTATGCGAGTCAGCGAGGTGAAGCCCACCTACCGCAACTCCATCACCGTGCCCTACAAGGTGTGGGCCAAGTTCGGACACACCTTCTGCAAGTACTCCGAGGAGATGAAGAAGATTCAAGAGAAGCAGAGGGAGAAGCGGGCCGCTTGTGAGCAGCTCCACCAGCAGCAGCAGCAGCAGCAGGAGGAGACCACCGCTGCCACCCTGCTACTGCAGGGTGAGGAAGAAGGGGAAGAAGATTGATCAAACTGAATGAAACACACACACACACACACACAGACACACACACAGACACACACACGCGCGCATTCACGTACGTGTGTACACACACACACACACACACACACAACCACACACAGAGAGAAATATACTGTAAAGAGAGAAAATAAAAAGTTAAAAAGTTAAAAAAAAAAAAAACTTAAACTCCAAGGGAGCACCACCCACAGAACCTCCACCAACTGACAGTTTCTCTTCTTGACTTGCCACCCATCGCTGGATGTTGTCCACTTTATCCACCATGTAAAACAGTAAGCAGCTGCTAAAAACAAAAAACAAAAAAATATACAAAAAGTAATAACATTATATGAACTGTGTTTCCTACTTGATTAAAAAATATAAAGAACTGAGTGTTTATTTCCCTAATTAACCAAGAACTTTTGTACACGTTTAAGCTATTATTATTAAAAGTGTTTGCAAAATGGTCAAGATTATAATATTGCTGAATTATATAAAAAGTCCTTTTCATGTTGAGCTAACATTTGACTTTAGCACAAAAAAAAAAAGAGATATTTTAGAACACGTAAAATAATATTTTTAGTTTTTCTCATTTTGTTACCAAATTTCAAACCTTACATGGAGGTTATTATAGTATATTTGACATCCTATATACCTGTGATTAGAGATGTGTATATATATGAGGGCTAGGCATGCTGTGTGTCTGAGCTTTGTCTAAATGTTATGCAGAAGTTTGTAGAGTTCAAGGTACGTAGGTTTAATTCATGCAAGGTAAACAATAAGTGCTCTCTTTTATACAATATGCATTGCATCTGGACCTTAAACATATAAAAAATGGTCAGTGAAACTTCTGTGAACATGAAGAAATTATTAAAAAAGGCATTTAAATGAAATTTGCTAAGTTGTGATTTTTATGGTTGGAACCAAAGTTATTCAAATAGTAAAAGAAGAAAGAGAAAGAAAAAGGAAATTTCCCATAATATTTTTCTGCATCTGTTTGCTTTGACTGAGTAGGTGTTTTGTTATTATTGTGTATATGAGATGTACTTGTATTGTTCATAATATATATTTTTTATTATGTGTAGAAAGATTTTAAAAACCTAACTAACGTGCAGCAATTTCCAGTGAACCTGTACTTGGATATCAGGTAGTGAGTCTATTTGTGGTCACTAGCACTGTCTCCTAAACTTGTAATAGGTCTGAAGCTATCCTTTGATTTTTGCCAGTGCTATTAACTTATGTAGACCTGTTTGAAAGCAAAGCAACACCATTATAGTTATCCTACTGAGCCATGGATTCTGAGTTTCATTTCAAAGTGAAAGCCAAGTTGGTGTATGTAAAGGATTTCCATGTAGCTGTGGTGCTAGTTATTACTGGCTACATTATATGTAAGTGTATTTGTGTTCCCCAAGTGTACAAGCCTTCTGTCACAAGTATGTTCTCTTATTATCACTCATATTCAAAGTGTAGGTATGAAGATGCAGGCTTAGGAGAGCGCTTTACCAAGCGGTGTCCTCCACGGAAATTGTTTGTAACGACAGTCTTTTACAGGTTTTCAGTTAGAGATGTTCGTGTGCTTTTAATTGACAACTAACTTCTTGCTGCTGTATAGTAAAATATTAATATATTTTTTATCATTAAACTGCTGCATGACTATCATCTTTGAGTGAAGAGAAAATGTTATAAAAAAGATGCCTTAAATACAGTACATTTTGGTTTGGAATTCTGTAGAAAGTATTTTGGTAAAAAAAGAAAAAAGAAAAAAAGAGGATCTTGGATCTTGTCTTGACAGAGAGAGTTCTGGACATGCAATTGTTTCTTGGCAAATCCAGCCATCTAGATCTACCTGCTGTATGTAGAAGAAACCACCTGTAGGACTGGGAAGGTGTCAGTACCTTTCCCATTGGAAAGCATCCGCCTAGGAAGGCAGAACAGTTGTCTTTTTTGAAGGATTTTTTTTTTTTTCCCTGCTGGCTCTTTAGGTTTTGATTTGATATTTTTAAGCTTTCTGGTTGTGTTGTCTTTGTTTTTGAGATCTACTGTATGTGTTGAATAACAAGCTATTTTCATTGTACTGTGCATTTTCCCATTGTTTGCTTTTCATATTCATACAATGTTAAATATGAGGTGACCGTACAATAGTTAGGAGTTTCTTTACTTACAAAATCACTGGAAATTATTAAATTGCTTTCCCCTCCCCCCAAGGTGCATTTTTTATTATTTTCATATAGTAAAGTTGAGCTTTTACAGTGCATAATGTGACATTTGGAATGCTTATCAACTGCATGTAAACATTAATAACCTGCACTTTTTGTCTTAAGGTTTGTTGAGCTGTTTTGTTCACTGTACTTTAACTGTGATATGGAAAAGATTGCATTCTCTGTGCTGTTTCTAATTAGGAAAGAGAATTGCTTTGATTTTGTCTCTTGTTTACTATAGCTTCTTAAAGTTAAGCCTTGTGCTACGAGTTGTTGGAGTACTCCTAGATCAGTGTTTCGTAGTAGCCAGCAGTCAGTAGTGCAAGTCAACAAACACAGCAAACTTAGGCAAAGTGTCCTTTCTTTGAGATGCAAGTTCTTTCATAAGGTTTGCTTTAGGGTCAGCTGCCTAAAGTGAAACCTTTCTTCCTATAGACTTCAGATTCTGCTTGGAATCCTACTGGATTGAGAAGCACATGTACTGTGCTGTTGTCTTTACACTATGACAGTTAAACACAATCTTACTAGGACTTTGAATCCATTGTCTGATTTATGATCAGTGGGTTTAAAAAGAAATCCACATGCAGATCTTTTAAGACTTAAAAAGTGGTCATAGAGAAAACTGAGTGACTGTAAAGATGCTCTTTTTGTTTAAAGCATCTCACTTTCTCTCCCCATTGACCTCCGACCTCCCCTTCTCCTATTTCATCCTTCCCCTACATTTCCCCTCCCAGGTGCTCGGTACTACACCAAGGTTCTATATTTCAGTGTATTATGTTAGAGTCTCTTCTTGTTTTTATTTTACTAGTAGGTAGCCCAGTTTGTGCTGAAAAAAAAGTGGGGGGGTATATTTGACCATATGTGTTATTCATAGAAGACAGTATGATCAAATGTGCCAAAAACAAGCAAACAGAACTTAATTCATGACAAGTATGCCTTATTTTTATTGATCTGCTTTGTCTTACAATTAAGGTCCAAGAGCTTGGTTAAACTATGTTATTTGCCTAAGTAAAAAAAAAGAAAACTTGAAATGCATTGAGATATTGATGTTCTTTAAAATGAGAGACACTGTCAAGTAATTTGATCCAGAGATCAGCCACCAGATTTGAAGAGTGCCTGTGTGTGTGTGTGTGTGTGTGTGTGTGTGTGTGTGTGTGTGTGTGTTGGTTGGTGGTGGTGGTGATGGTGGTAGTGGTAGTGGTGATGGTATTTGTGGGTTTTTCTCCCCTTAAATCACCAAATCTTATTTTTAAAGCTACCTTTTATTTGTGCCTCCTATTTATCATGCAGATGTTAGAAGCAGCAGTCATCCAGCCACAGAGGGAGCTAAAGTTAACTAACCAGAACTCTAGAAATCATCATACATGCCTTTGACAACAAAGGAAGTTCATAAGAAAGCCATGTTGGCTTTTCCTCTACTAGACACACATTGGAGGTAGATGAACATTTGCCAAATGAGAAAAAAAGACAAATTCAGGAAAGACAAACTGTTTTCCAGCTTCTCAAAAGCCATGGAAAGTAGAAACCAAAACCAATGGGAAATTTAAAAAACCTTGAAAGTCTCACTTTCTAGTCCCATGCAGGGGTTAAAATTTGACTCAAAATGGAAAGTCTTATCAATTTTTGTTTTTAGACCTTTGCATCTAAAGATGGATAACTATTTGTTTGATTTTTTTTTTTCAGGTAATAGAGAAAGCTGCTAGTGATTTTAACCCCTGCTGAAAGGAGACAGATAATTTCATTTGGGAGCAAATACTTATTGCCTTGAGAAACAGCACTATAATAGTCTATGTTCATTAGTCGTAGAATAACCTTTATCCCTTTCAAGCTATGCAAATTATTAAATAAGTGTAAATTAGAATTCAATTAAAGAGTTGATTATATTGCAATCAGATGGCATTCACAAACTTAACTGAAGCATATACAAATAAAATCTAATAATTTAAGAGTTTTTTTTTTTTAATGCTGACATAAATATAATTTAGCTACCTGATGCTGAATACTATTAACATTGTATGATAGGTCTGGGAAGACTGCCTCCTTTTTTTGAAGAGAGAGATTAAGAATTTTTATAATTGTTTTTCATCAAATTTTAATATTTTTGTCAAGTTTTTAGGTATTTAATTTGTAAAACAGTTTGCTTTGTACTGGCATACAGATATTAGGGTATTGATTTTAAACTTTTTGAAGCCAAGTGATCAAGTACATTTGTAATAAAAATCAATGGATCTCTATCAGTTGTACTCACTGTTTTCATTTCTTGTTATTACCAATGTAGGAATTTGTACCTTTTGCTGCATGAGAATGGAGCTAAATTTGGGTGGAAGGGGGTGGGAAAGATAAATCTGTTGAGAATAAATAACCTGGGTGGATTTGGTGGCCCAAGCACTTCAGAGCATAGTAAGATTTAGTGTATTAGAAAAGATGTAAAATCATCATCTTCTTCTTCCTGGTTTTTTTAAATGGAACTTAATGTTTGGAGAAGTTATCTCCGTTTTGTTTTTGCGCTTTAAAATCTTGTGTTTTGGCAATGTTGAAACTTTTTAAACACATTTTTCTCTCATGACATTTTGGGATATTCGGCCAGCCATGGTGACCCCACCATGGGCATGGAATTATTTTTGTCTTTACATGGCTTACCCTCTCTTCTCCAGTATTTTCATTAGTTTTTTTTTTTTCCCTCGTGTTATACACTCATATTTCCAGATGATTTTAGAATGGGCTTCCTGAATTTACTTGGGTAGCTTTCATAACTCCAGTTTTTTTAAATACATAAGTGTACTTTTAGTATTTTATTCCCCATAAAAACAGATAGGAAATAATTTTTCTCCTTTTTTGTTGTTTCTTGGATATCAGGATAAGATTTTGTTTATTATGTGAAAGAAAGCTAAGACAAAGGCATCTTGAGCACTTTAGATTTGAAACAGTGGGTGATTACAGAGTGTAACATTCATGGTTGTTATCTCTAAATCTGAATATCAGTAATTCAGAGAGAGCTCATGTTTTGTCATGAGAATAAACTAAGGGAGAGATCTTTTTAATTGCTTAAGCAAATTTACCAGTTTTATAAGTTTGTTTTAAACTTTTATCAAATTTCAAAACATTGTTGAAACATTGTAAGCCAAATTTAGGCCATTCATAGTAACGTACTCTATTAAACGAAAGTGACCACTACTTAAGATGACTGTTTATCCAGCAGCACTAATCACCATAGCTCTGCAGAGTTTGCAGTGCATTTTTTAAGAAAAGCTGATTTAAAGATTTATGAAGCTATTTGATCCTAAAACCAAACCTAAATTTAAGGCCTAGGCCATCCAACTAGCTCTTTTTGAGCAGAAATTTCATTATTATGGGCTATGTAATGGTGATCTAAACTAGCATTAGTTAGAATTTTAAGATTCAAGAGCAACCAGATGAAATAAGAAATGTGGCTGGCTCTAAGCTGTTTGCCATCTTCCATCTACAAATGGAGTAACCAGACTTTGATATTAAAGGATCTAGGCATCTTATGTCTTCAGAAAAGTGGACTGTGGAAAGTAGCCTCTTGTTGACGTTTTTTTCTTGTAAGAACTGTCTAGTTATTCTTTCATTTCTGCCTTCATGTTAGGTTTTGTGTCTCCTTCCATTACATTCGGTATCTCCTCCCTCCTTCCCTTTCCCTCCTTTCCTTCTGTTGACTAGCTTTTGTGGAAAATTGTCTTGTTAATAGGTGTAGAAATGTAGTGATCTTTTGTGTAAAATAAAACTACTTTTTACAGGCCAGAAACATTTTATTGTTCTTGGAATCATAATATTTTTGTGCTTCCATGAATACATACTTCATTTTTATTATTAATTTGCATATTTTTAGCATTTCATGGAGGGAAAATTAAACTAATGAGTTTTAATTTTCTTGGTTAGGTTCCACTTTAGTAATTCAGAAGGCCTATAAGGTTAAAGATCACACTCTGTTTTGTAATTGTGATATTCTTGCTGGTATATATTTTGGTCTAAGATGTCTTAATGCAAAAGGCTTCTAGGAGGATTTAAGAGGCAGTTAAAAGTTACTAGACAAGTGACATCTACTCACGTGACTAGCTCAAACTGTAATAACAATCAGGTAATGATTTAACTTGTTGACATTATGTCAGACTCTGCTGAAATGGACTGACAGTTGGCAGTGCAGTTAAGTTGTTGGTAGCTCTTGACCTCCTTGCCAAGTAAGTCTGATACTTTGGCTCCTCCATTCTCCTTTCTTTATGCTCCTAGTCATGGCACCCAAGCATCCCTCCTTCAGAAGAAGTGATGACTCCTTCCTTTGAACATAGCTAACTGATGATCAAGAAAGATTTCTGTATTTTGAGGTAATTTGGTCTTTTTTTTTTTCCCCATGACTACTGTTTTCCCCATAGTCTTAACTTGGCAATTTGAAGAGCATCTAAATGAGTGCTTGTTAGGAAATCTGTGAAATGAAGAGTGTAAGAAGCATGTGTTTAAGTTACTGAGAACTGAGACTCACTGGTGTGGAAATTGGAGAGCAGAAAGGGTAAAGCTGTTTGTTTGTGAATGGGGGTGTGAGAGAGAAAGGAGAGAATGATTGGGAGTAAAGTAGGAGGGATTTTTATTGGCAGTAGGAAGAAGTACTAAGATGAACTCTGAATGATAGTTGTTGACTAAGAAAATGAGGTTGAGCTTCACTAAGGAGCTGTCAGTGTGTCCGTTGTCAGCTAAGAGAAAACTGTCCGTCTGTAGCTAGTTGTGATGATAGGTTCTACAAATCTGTTTTGATGTGTATGATGATGGTTTGAGGGTTTATAGTATGTCTGCTTCTCTGAACAAATTCAAGTAGCACAATTGTGAAATGGCAGCTTTTCTGGTCAAGGCAGATTGGTGTTAGGAACTTACTATTTTGGGAAAAAAAACAGTTCAACCTTTTTCATTTGCCATTTTCAAGTTGTCAGTGACATTTATCATATACTATTATCTTGGACTCGTCACAGTGTAGCTTATGTTTGCAATTCAAGATTATCCTTCTAGTTCACAAGATCGACACCCAAAGGTCTTCTTTTACAGACTCTTTAGCCTTTGGTCCACATACGTTTTTTTGGAAGATAGTAAAGCAGATACAATCACTGAATTGCTATTTTAAGTATCTTTTCTATTTCCTTTACATTTGTAGTCCTATCAACCATCTAACATTGTGGCTCTTAAGAAGCCCTTGGTAACATATTTCTAGAATTAGACAGCATATCCCCTGAACTCATGTTTCTGTTTGTTTTCTTACTTTAAAATTGTAGAATTCCCTAAAGATAGTGTAGACGGGTGTTAATTATAAGTTAATATATCTCCCAGGTTCTTGTTCTGTGTAACATGAGTTGACAATGATTAGTTATCTATTCTGTAATCCCAGAAGTGTTTTAAATTATTTAAGGTAAATATTTGTTTTTAAAGTTAATAGTTCAGATTCAGATTGACTGTAAATTTACTATGGGTTTATTCCAGGTAATTTTGACACATTACTTTCAAGATTCATTTTAATCAGATCCCTATACATTCCTGCAATAATTTGTTTTTAAAATAGTCACAAGGAAGTTTTGGTTTATACTTGGTATTTTTTTTTCTCAAGTGTCAAGTTCATTAACAGTAGTGGGATTATTTTTACATAGTTTATTTTGCAGAGTTGGCACTTAGTATAATTTTCACATTTTATTGTGTGTCAGATTTTAAATTATAGTTAACATACTATAGTTTAAGTCTGTGAAGAGCCTTCTTAAATAGCTCCTCCCTTAGGAATTGTTTAAAGGAAATGAAGAACCAGTGCTTTAAATGACTGAGACAAGTCTGAGAGGTTTCCTTGAGTCTAGGCAATGGAGATAAATGATAGCCCATTTCTATGCTGCATACAGTTTTTAGGGTTTGATAATGATGTAGAAAAGTGCAAAAGCAGAAAAGACTCTGTAAAGTGGCCTATAAATTTATAGTTTTCATTATTGCACTATTTATCTTTGCACTTGATTTTTTTGGAAATTAAAGACTAGTCACTTTCACTTTTGTTTCTAGTCTTTTCTAATTTCTTGCAAAAATTGTTTTCAATATCCCACCCAAAGTTAAACTCATATGCAATTACATATGCTTTATAAGGCCAAGAAAATATTTGTTAATGTTAGCTATGTAACAGTAAAATTTGTTTTGATAAAATTTTTAATATAAATCTTTTATTTGCCAATAAAATTCTTTATGAATGTGAGCTTTATTAAACTGTTTAAGAAAAGTAAAAGCTTAGAATAGGAAATATGTCTATGTATATGAAATTGTGTCTTTGAGATCCAACTTCCGAGCCTGGTCTGGCCTGGCTTTGGAGTGTTGGTATGTTTCATTTAGCAAATGATATGAGTCTTACTGGGCACATGCTTAAGAAACTGGAAGTAAAACAGATGACAGTTCCTTCTTTTGTGTAGCTTTCCATAAAGGTCATATAGTTTCTTCGTGGTTTGTGTCACATAACTGGTATTACATGAAGTGACTCTTCCTTTTGAGAATTTAAGATTGACTTACTTTTTGAGAGATGGGGACAGCAAAGGATATAAGACTTTGATTTAACCAGAGGCAGTCTTAGCTTTCTTGATGTGCTCTGCACAGAGAACAAAGAGTGTACCTGTGAAATGTGTGATGCTGTATTCAGAACTGCAAAAAAAGAAACATTGAATTTTCTCAATGGAACAGAGAGATGTATTTTTGGCTGGAATTGTTTTTATAAGTTACTTAGTAATCTCATTTTCTATTTCTTTCCCTGTAGCTTTTTACACACCTCACACTTAAAACCAGCAAGTAAGAGGCCTCTTTTCAGATCTGGTTATTCTGAATGTGTTCTGGATAGGGATGTTGATCGTGACATGTTCTTCCCATGTTCTGCTGGTCATTGTGGTTCATACTGTTTGCAGATTCTGTTAATTCAGTGATGTATTTGAAATGAGAATGTTGTCTACATCATGGTGTGAATGTATGTGGCTAGATTCCATTGTGGAGCCTGTAGCTTTGTTTTTAATTTAAGTAGAAAGTTTAACTGTAGTCCAGATTTTAAGGTTATGTATAGGAATTGTGCCAGGTAGTTGTCTAAATATGGACCAATTTTGGAAATGAAAGTTAATGAATTTGGATTTGACTCAAGATAATTCTGTATGCAAAACCACAAGTTAAAGGCTCACATCATTAGAGTTACCTACATTTGATGGCCTTAGCTCTTTAAATGTGGATGACATTCAGCATTATATCTGTGAATTTCCTTAGGAAAAGAAAAGATTTAGTTTTTATACCTTTTCTTGGAGGCTAAATTGACTGCATATGGAAGTGAGAAAATTGTAGCAAGTGGCTTTTTTTTTTAGTGGAGTTTAACCAGCTTAATTCCTTTTCCTACTTTGAAGCACTTATTTCCCAAATATGAATAAAGGGAAAGATCAGCAACCCCAGGCCATTTTTGTTGTCTGCCTCCATTTCTTAATCCTATTATACAATAAATTACGGGTATCCCTCTTAAGTCCCTGTAATGCTTTTTTTTGGGGGGGGGGTCGCAGATACCTTTGAAAAATCTGATAAAAGTGATGGACCCTCTCCCCAGGAAAAAAAAATGCACGTAATACAGATAATTTTGCTACAACCTCAGGGTCATCACTTATCTTCTGAAATCCAAGTTAGGAATTTTTGCTCTGAGCAAACTATATAGAAAATTGTAATGCAAATTAATTGATAAAATTAGGAGCTATTGGCTTAAAACATTTCAGATTGGATTATTATCACATGGTGGCCCCTACTAGCGAAATGTGATATTGCAACTAGCTTTGTTAGACATTATAACATCCAGACAGAAGGGGAAGAGAAGTTCTGAGAGCTATTTATAAGGAGTCAGGTTATCTCCAGATAAGGGAGCCATTCCTGGTTCAAGGTAGGGGTCCAGATGCCTGACAACTTTTGCAGGGTAGAGTTTGATAAACCACAACGCTCAGGATGCCAAGGGGTTAGCCATTATCTTAACCCCTTCCTCACCAAAAGATTTTAGTTTTGTCTGTTGGGAAAAAAAGATGGCACTAGAGAAAAATAAGTTGCCTTACAACTTTGCTGGAACACATCAGTTTGGTGAAGTATGGGACACTAGTATTATTTTTGAGAAGGTGCATAAAACCAAAGTAAATTATTCTCTATGTAGAACATTATTTACTAGTAACATTTGTTTGGGTGTATTAGCTTTGACAATTTTTACCAATAAATACTGAGTTTATTTAAAACTGGGAGTCCAGTTTACATATAGGATAGTTGATATATCCATCTTTTCCCCATGTAAAGAATAGTCTAAAAGATTTATGTATACTTTTTACTTTTCTCTCTTGGTACCATGGGGTGGGAGTGGGGGAGGACTTTAACTCAACAACTGACAAATGTCTTCAAATTCAAAAATCAAGAAGCAGCACTTTAAGTCTAACTCCACGCCATTTTAGTGCATGTATTAGTTTAAAAATGATTTTTGGTGCATGCCTTTGGGCTTATTCAAAAGTGTACAATAGAAAAGTATATTTCCTTTCTTAGAAAGGAGATGTTTTTCTACTTTGCAACATGTGATTACAAAAATCTTCCTCTGTGGAAAGATTAACCATGTATTGAACTACTGAAAAGTATATATTTTTAGATATACAGAAGGAATCTACACGGGGCAGCGTTCAGACCTATATAGAAGTCATAGCATTCTGTATAGGACCAAAAGGAAGTAACATTCAACACTTAAACAGACTTTGTTGGGTAGAAATACCTTTCGATCTTGCATTGACTTCCAAAAAGAAAATGCCGCAGAAGTTTGCTGAAACTTTTGTTTGAATTTTCTCTGTCAGTGTATTTAGCCCAAATGCAACAGCTTTGGGTTAGCACAATGTAAGAATCAAAACACAAAACTAAATAGTTCAGTCTAGTTTGCCAATCCAGCTTGACTGAAATAAGTAACCAATCACTTGCAAACTGAAAAACTGTCCAACTCCTCTAAGGTTTTGACAAAATAACCTTGGCTGACGTGGGAACACTCCTACTTTGAATTCTGACCTGACAGTGAAGATTCATGCTTGACATGAGTTCAAACCTGACAGTGTCTGTTTAAGGAGTCATGGTACAGTTTGCTAATTCAATCCCAGATACCTGTTGATTACCTGTAAGATCTAGAGTCCAAAGTAGCCAGCAGCCGTATCCCTGAGTGCTCTGTGCCCATCAGATATTGTGAAGTAAGCAGAATTGGGACGGGTCACAGCTCTGAGGATTGACCTCAGGTGCTGTAGACAGCTCCAGATTCAAGAATTATATCTGCTTCCTTGGGAGTCATCACTGAACTAATGTCCCACACTGCATTACTTACTGTAGATGCTCTCCAAGAGGAGGCCCAGAGCACACATCCTAGTTGTTTGTGGTACTCAGAGAGGGGGTGCTAACTCTGATGCCCTGGCCAAATTCCAGTTTAGGGATGTGGGTCTTCTTGTCATTCTAATTGGAAATGTGCATCACTTCCCATTTTTCCTGTTGCTCTCAGTACAAACTACACAAGTCTGTTCCTTTGCCCCAATCCCAAGTCTCCAAGATACTGGTATTATATGGGCCAAGTTCATGCCTTATCTTAATGCACAAGAGTTGAAGAGTGAGTGAGCTTGATATCATCAGGATGCCCTGTACTTGGAGGGTGGACTCTTGTGATGCTTGGGAATGAAACCAGCCCTCTTTCAGCGTATGTTAGGAAATATGCACTGGTTGGAAGCTTCCAGCTGTAAGGAATGAGCTGAAACCAGTTTCCCCTCTTCTTATAGCATGATAAGAAAGTCTGTTGGGTTTTCAGCAGTTGGGGAAGGCCGGAGTTCTGCAGCTTTAATCTGGGTAACTAAGGTTGTTTTAATCTGGGTAACTAGCTGGTTTAATATGGATAACTAAGGCTGGTTTGAGCAAGACTTTGGTAAATTAACTGGGTTCTCAGATGCCACAGACTCCGTGATAAGTCACCATTATTTTCAATGGCCGTGATAGAGTCCCCCTGTAGCCGTTACTTTAAGATTACATGCAGAGTTGCTTTATTTTGAGCTTTTTGTGTACACACAATCCCAAACTGGAAAAACTTAAAAAGGAATCCTGCTGTGAAAGGTATATATTACTCTAGATTTTTCTTACTGTAAATATTGTAAGATTGTAATACTGTCAATATTTTATTAACCAACAAATGTTAATCTATGTGAAATCAGACTTATTTTAAATGTGCTTCTTATTTACTGTGTGTGGTCCCTGTTGCTGACAGTATTAAGTTATATTCTGATGTAAGATTAACTTTATTAAAGAATGTAAACATTAATGTTTCCTTATGGGAAAACAAATAAAGTATAAAGAAGACAATTCTTTTCATTGAAATATACTGTGTATTTACACTTGCTAGACCCAGCACCACTTATAAACTTAGTCACTGTCCAGTTTCAGTTAACACAGCTGACACGATTGTGCTCCACTTGAAAGTCTAAGCCTTGGTGTTGTTGGAATAGAAAGTTTGTATTTGTCTGCTGTGAATCATCTTGAAATTTCTAATCAAGTTTGTAAAATTTTTATAGTAAAAGTTTTAATGACAATTTAAAAAATTACCTTCTCTAAAGAATGGTCAAAACAATATCCTTTCAGAAATAGAGTTGCTCTTTACTATCTTTCCAAAATGACTTTGGTTAAATGGACCAGGTGTATATTAGTTAAAATCTAGGGCTAAGTTCTTGATATTCTTTGAGTTTACAAGTTAATCCTTATTGGAGTTGTGCCAATATACAATAGAATATCATTAATTTGCACTGTTTGGGGACCCCATTTAAAAATGCTGAATTTTGCCAACTAAAAATAAGCAAATGCAATTTTAAAAGTAAATTTGAGCATTCTGTGTTAAATATGTGCAGTTATTATCATATGAAGAAGCGCAGTGTGTTGGGCTGTAATATAACCATATTTGCTGTCATGTTCTCCCATCTCAGTGCTGGGAACTCACCATGTGGAAACCAAGCAACCGTGTTGTGCATCAGCCGGCTTGAGTTTGTTCAATATCAAAGCTGAAGCTAGCGAGGTCTGCTGTACTGCTTATTGAAGTATTGTGATTCTTTTAGGCATTGATTCTTACAAAATATATACTGTAACAGTATACTTTGTACAGATTTAAATTTTATTTGAAAAATGAAATAAAGTAGGCAAAAAATAAAGATGTTTATTTTTCATGTGACTACATAAACAGATCATCAGTCTTTTGTTTCAATGCTTTTGTGGGGGAGGGATCTGGGTGGCCTGTTTGTTTTGTTTCGGTTTGGTTTTGGGCCAATGGAGACATCTCCAAGACTTCGTAGCAGGTAGACATTTGCCTGCAAATCATCATTAATTGTTGCAGGTATTAAATGTATATTCTTACATGGGAAAACCCCATTTTCTATTTTACTTTTAAACATTTCTTTATAAGATTATTTTGTGAATAGACTTCCTCTGTGGCTTCTTGGGTCAGCTTTTAATAAATTATCTGGCAGTGTGATAGTTAACCATGCTGCTGCACTGAAGAGAAGAGAGAACTTGCCTATGAATCCTGCTCATTTCCTGGGAAAACCTTTTCTTGTTCCTGTCATCTTGTGTTTGAAGTTGGTTTGGAGAAGTGTACAAGAGTCCGTGATGTAAGATGAAGAGAAAGGCCCTTTTCAAACTGCTTTTTTTTTTTTTTTTGAATAGAACAGCAGAGAGAAACGAAGCCACAAAAACATAGCACAGGAGTGAATCTTCAGGACACTTCCATTGGAACATTCTAGAGCAGTGGTTCTCAACCTTCCTAATGCTGCGGCCCTTTAATACAGCCCGTCATGTTGTGGTAACCCCCAACCATAAAATTACTTTATTGCTACTTTATAACTGTAATTTTGCTGCTATTTATGCATTATAATGTAAATATCTGGTAAGTTGACCCCCATGGTGGTCAGGACCCACAGGTTAAGAACCACTGTTCTAGAAGATTAGATTATCTAACTAAGGAGAACCACCTCAGTTTTTACTTCTGAGTAAAATTCTTAAAAAAAACAAGCAAACAAAGACTTCAGGAGCCTTATGGGTATATCTCCTTGGCTTTAGGAAGTAAAATGTGAAGTTTTATTTGTGCCTTTTGCTTTTTATCCTTATTTTAATATTTTCACATACCTTCAAGCAAGATCAGAGGACGAGTTATAACAAGAAGTTCTCCGAGTTAGTTGTTCCTGGTAGAAATCACACTGTGTGTAATCCTCTCGGTGGTGGGCTGTGTTTTAAAAACTTATGCATGACCATAGACCCAGTTCACAGCTCCAGGCTTCTCTGGGTGAGTCCCAGGGAAATTTGCTGTTTCACTCTTTTCTTAACAAAATGTAGAGAAGAAGAGTTGGAATAAGTTCCACACGTGACAGCCACAACTCTGATAAAAATAATGAAACTATCAGAATCTAAAGCTGAGGGTGCCACTATTTGGGAAAGATAGGTAGGGTACCTAAGAAACATGTATGTCTGTGTGTCTGTGTATAGTCCTGAGGACCAAACCTGGGGGCTTTCATAAGCTAAGTGAGCATTCACCACTAAGCTATATCCCAGTCCTTTTAAAAAAACATTTTGAGGTAAGGTCTCAGTAAATTGTCCATATTAAGCTTGAACTCACCCCATAGCACAGACAGACCTTCAACTTTTGATCCTCGGCCTGGGTCTCCTGAGTAGTTGGGATTATAGTCTTGTGTCACGAGACCTGGCTTAAAAACTAGTTTCCTCTAGTGCTACAGTGCCTGTGGCTTCTAGGAGACACACAGAAAACAAGTGGGTGCTTTCTGAAGAATAGATGCCCCTCTCTCTTCAAGAGTGGGATCAGGTAAAATCCCTGGATCCTCTTCTAAGAGGAACAGGAACTTCTAGTGAAGATTGTAGGCAGAACCGGCTCCCTGGAAGTACGTGGACTGAAAAGCCAGAAGTCAGGAAGAGCAAGAACCTGAGGTAAGGTCCTACAGCAGTCCTGCAGGGTTGAGCTCCCAGACTTGATATAGGTATGAACTGCAAGTCAAGGCCTAGATGGCTCGGAAACATCTTAAGAAAAGAACCTAGAATAATGTAATAAAATTGGCAGTCTTTTCCCACTACCTCCTTCCAGTGGCTATGAATTTTTATTTAACCATATGACATATAACTTACTTCGGTTCTTTTGCATGGTTTATTTATTTATTTAGCAATCTGTTTGTTCTTAGTTTCAGTAACAGTTGCTTTCTAAGCAGTAAGACCCCTGCGCGTGTGTGTGCACACACAACACACACACCTACCTTTGGGTACTGGGATATGACAGGACTTTTTGATCTAGGGTACTGGGTTTTAGAGGAGTTTCTGCTCATTAGGGATCAAAGGGAAGAAATCCCTCTGTAGCATCTGACTGCCAATTCTGCTGGGGGCCTACACACCTCCACTACTATCACTTCAGCACCTCCTCCACACTTTGAGAACTTTAGGAGCTGTATATTTCCCCTGAAAATGGGATTCCACCTTAATATTGCAAATCTCCAAATGTTCCCAATAGCATTAGTATAGTTTTCCTACCAATGCTAATTTAGTCTCTTTGACTTGTTCACATCCGACTGTGTCTACTTAGATTGTCAGTGAGAAATGTCACAAAAGAGACTGAATGCTCAGTGTGTACAAGCAGGCTATCCCTGTGTTACAGCCAGCAGGGATGTCCTGGTACAGCAATTCTCTTAGGCAGCCTGAGATTGGGAGCAGCTCCAACCTAGCTGTCCTTTTTGTCTCTGGCAGTAGCTCTGATAGTGTGTCTGTATAGTCACTGTCCTGAATTTTTCTGAGCCCCACTATCTTTTATGTTTTTAAGTACTGAATGTTTAAAATTAGGTACTAAATAAAGTAAGTGTCTTACCTAGGCCATTACATTTCATTCTTTCTTCAGTGCCTTTAAGGTGCAAGCACTCTTACTACTCCCCCCCCCCCCATTTTACAGGTGAGGATACTCACTGTGGCATGGGATGATTAATCTGCCCAGGGTTCCACTGTCAGAATTCCAAGTCCAGGTAGGTTGATATGAGAGCACATCTGTGGTCTCGGCACTCTACTATAGTGCCTTCCCATGGTGGTTCTGCCTACATACCCCGCTAATCTATAGATCTCTCTGATTTTGACAGTGCCTCACCTCACCTGTTTAGCTAGGCAGTAAAGCCAATGTGCTCTTTACAAACGAGGTTCTTCTGCATAGTTCAGAGCCACATTTCCTGTTCTAGACTCAGCTGATTCATGAATGAATTCTCCCTCCCTTTCATGGAGGAAAGATTTAACTTGGAGCAGGTCTAGAGGAAGCTGGCAGATGGCCCTTCCGGGCCTCTCTCTGCCACTCTTGCTTCCAGTGAACGCGGCCTGAAGCACTCCTCCTCCTCCTCCTCCTCCTCCTCTCAGCACTCTCACCACAATGGCCTCAACCACCCGTTAGGTGAATTAGGCTCTGGAATGGTCTTGTTGAATTGTGTTCCTTCTCCATTTTCCCCAGATTCTAACCACCCCCACCCACTGACAGACACCTGACCTTCCTTATAGCAGACCTCCAATCTGGGCCCTTGTGGATTCACATAGAAGCCCAACAGTTGTTAGTAGCAGTAAGTCTCCAGAGAGGCTCTGGTCTGCCCAGATTCCCAGAACCCCTTGTTCACTAGCAGTTGGCCCAGTAATTGGATCAGCCAAAGCCAACCTCATCATTTCCCATTCAAGAGTTTTGCTTGGCTTTTTAAATTTCAGAAGGCGTTTCCCTGCATCCTCTAAAATGCTATTTCCCAGATGTTTCCTGACCTCCAAGGCAAGGTCCAGCATCTTTCTCTCCAGAGGCTTCTCCCAAAAATAAAATCTCAAATTCCTTGGGACTTAGGGGTGGTTTAGAGGGCTGTGGTGTCTGTTAGAATCTTGTCTAAAAAGGAAGATCATAATTTAAACTTAGGACCCCTATGATTTTCATATTCTTTAAATCAATGATTATTAAATTGCAGGGCTAGATCAAGAGCATTAGTGTCCCTCAGAAACTGTTAGCAATACAAATTCTTTTGCTTTTGTCTTTTCAAGATAGGGTTTCTCTGTGTAGCTCTGGCTCTCCTGGAACTTGCTCTGTAGACCAGGCTGGCCTCGAACTCACTGAGATCCGCCTATCTCTGCCTCCCGAGTGCTGGGATTAAAGATGTGCACCACCACCGCCCAGTGGCAATACAAATTCTTGGACCCCACTTCACATATACCAAATGACTGGAGTCCTTCAAGTGATGTGATGCACACTAAGGCGTAAGCTTACTTTTGAAGTCCTAGGTTTTAGAATATGATAAAAAACTGGTGCTTTCTCAGCGACTTCATAGAATCTACCCCAAGGTCCAAGTTAAGCTCTGGAACTTTAAGCTTACCCACCTCACCCCACCCTAGCTGCCACCTGCTGTCAGTACCACCATGCTATGGGATGATCACATACTCCCTGTTCATCCATACTGCCAGGTGTTGCCAAGAGTATGTGTCCCCCACAGAGAGCATGGGGTCAGGTTTGCTGATCTCTGTATGTGCAATAATTATAATCCATTGGTGATAAACTACAACAACAACAACAACAACAACAACAACAACAACAAAAATAGGGCCTGAAGAGATGGCTCAGCAGATAAGAGCGCTGGCTGTTCTAGAAGACCCAGGTTTGGTTCCCATATCTACATGGTGGTCCACAGTCATCTGTAACTCCACTTTCAAGGGATATAACATCCTCTTTTTGTCTCCATGAACACATGACACACATACATACATACAGGTAAAACATTCATACACAAAAAAGCTAATTACAAAACAAATTTAAATGCTAAGCTGGGTATAGGGGCACATTCCTGTAATCCTAGCATGGGAAACTGCATGAGGCAGGAGTACTCATAACTGTGGGGCCAGCCTGGCTCACACAGACATTGTCTGAAAAAAAAATGAAAGAAAATGGAAAAAAAAAAAAAAAGCATGGCCCATCAGTCCAGGAGTCTGGAGTCAGATAAGGTGACTGGCCACTCGTGGAGCTGGGAGCTGAGTGTTAAAATAGAGTAGAGCTCTCAAACTCACTGCAACAGGCTGGCTAGGGCCAGGGGCAAGGGGACTGCAGCTAGAGCTTTATCAGTGGCAGGTCTTGGTCTCTCAAGAGAGGAACTCCCAAGACAAGGGCCCCTGCTTTGATTCTTC